AAACTCAAAAGCCATTATACAAGCCCAACACACTACCCCGTCCTGCTTGCTACCAACGCACTCCAACCCCTTGCAAAACCGTCCCTAATATCGGCTCTTCCTTTATGAGCTTTTCCCATATTCCTAACACAGTCTCAATGTCCTACTGCCCCACGCTGCCAAGCTCTCTTCGGTAAACACAATTTCAGCACAGAGTCACACCCTCTCTCCAGCCTAATTCCTACAACCCCAAAACCCCACCTCCTCATGACGCCCTCCGGGGCCTCAGCCACCTACCCAACACCCCGCCCCATGCCCGTCACGCCCTCCAGATCCCTTCGGGGTCCTTTCCGCCAGCCCGGCCTGACCCCGCTCTGGGCTCCCAAGTGCCTAGGCCCTCGCGATCACCCCGCCAGCCCCGCCCCCAGCCCCTCACCGAGTAGCAGCAGCTTCACTTCTTTGGCCGCTTTCTCCCCGTCCTCCCGCAAGTTGCGGTCGATCATCTTGCTCCGCTCCACCGCCGCCTTGTCTTCGGCGCTCAACGTGCAGCCCATGGCGGCGGCGGGAGAGGGGACCGGGCCCGGATTCACTCACACCCCGCAGAAACTGCAGCTCGGCGGGCTAACACAGAGCCTACTACTGGGCGGCGGCCGTCTCCGTCAGCTTTCGGAGCTCCCGGAGGAACCGGATATCCGGTGTTTACGACACTTCCAGAAACGCCCCTCGGCCGTTACTGCTTGAACCTCTCTAGGTGGGGTAGAGGAGGCGCGAGGGGAAGCGGAAGTACGGGGAGAGGGACGGTGAGGTTCAGCTGCAGTGCCGTGGGTAGCCAGGCCATGTCGAGCTCGAGCTTAGTCCCTTTTCACCTTTTCGGCTGCTCTATTTGAATAACTGTAGAAAAACCAGGGACTGGCTTCTCCAGTTCATGACCCCCTCCCGAGGTCGTGAGTGGCGAGGTCGTGAGTGGGGGGAATTCCCAAATAAGAGCCCACAGCCCGCGCGGGAATTTCTGCTGGGAATTTCTCACTGGCCAGAAAGCCCCTTTGATCTCTAACGTTAGAGACCCGTGGCCCCTGCCCAAGTGTAGGACAGTTCCTCTGCCGGGGCCATTTCAGGCAGATCTCTGGGATGGGAACAAACTCCAAAGCCTGGGCCCCGGCCACGCTTCGCATCTGAGATCTGTAAGACCATGCATAGGACTTCAGATCCCTTTCTGCCTTCTCTGGCCCACTGCCTCCTGCTCTCAAAATGGACCCTGGTCCTCGGGCCGTTTCATACGAATTTCTGTGGGCTTTAGAGGGGCCCAGCTACTGTGTTGGCAAAGGGCCACTTGAAATCGCTAGCATACTCGATTATCTGAAAGGGAAGCGTTAGTTCCTCCATAAAGTTTCCATGCTGCCTTTCTCCGATATAAGGCAGTTTGGGCGCTTACAGATCGTACTGCGTTAGGGTCTTAGGATTCGTACCAAGGTTAGTCAACCCCTGACCCACACCTCAAAACAAACCAGTGCATCCTGTGAATCTCCTAATAAAATTTCCTTTTGTGATAGCCAAAAAGGGAAGTTGTAGTAGAATTTGCCTCTCAGCTCTAGCATCACCTGAAAATTAATAAATCAACCATAAAAGCCCCAGACTGATAACCTTTTTCACTTATAATCCTGGGTACTACCATGAAGGTGGCCCTAAATTACCTTGACTGCCGCATAGCCCCACAAATACTCTCACTATACGTTCTAGGGAGGGTACCTCTTGTAGCCCCCAAAACCTTTCCCTGTGATTAAAAGTTGTTTCCCCAGGCTGGCCCCATGGCGTAGCGGTTAAGTGCGCACGCTCAGCTGCTGGCGGCCCAGGTTCGCATCCCTGGTGTGCACCAATGCACTGCTTGTCAGGCCATGTTGTGGCAGCATCCCTTATAAAGTGGAGGAAGATAGGCACAGATGTTAGCCCAGGGCCAGTCTTCCTCAGCAAAAAGAGGAGGATTGGCATGGGTGTTAGCTCAGGGCTGATCTTCCTCACACACAAAAAAAAATTATTTCCCTAATAGAATCTAAACCTTAGAATGTTAAGTCCCAACAGAAAGGTCTGTATGGTGATGATTCATTAATTAGATTTCTTGAGAGCCACCTTAAACAGCCTCATCCACCATAATCTATCAATGCCCGTTCTTCAAAGTTTGAAAAGTCTACTCATTCCCAAACCTGTTAGAATAGAAGGGACTTCTTTCCCATAATCAATACTTGTGGGGGAAAAAGGGCAAGAGGAAAGGGAAGAAAAACCAATATTTATTGAGTACCTATTTGCCAGGTATGGCTAGATGCTTCCACGTGTCATCTCTTAATCCTCACAACAACCCTGTGAGGTAGGTAATGTTATCCCCATTTTTACAGATGAGGAAATAGGCTCAGAGAAATTAAGCATCTTTCCCAAGTTCACACAGTGAGTAAGTGGATCTGACTCCAAATTCACCCCTTTTCTACCATTCCACTTTAAGATGTTACCTGGGGAGACCTGACAACAGAAGGTTTTCATCTAGGATTGAAAGTTACCCCAGCACCACTAGGGTGCAGCAAAAAGTGATGGAACGGTTGTCTCAACCTGTTGATTCTTCAGTGGATGAGAGAGGTCAAAATTTGTCCAGGAACAGCTTTCACAGCTAAGGATTACATCTTGAACTTTACCAAGCAATCCTGGTAACTAGAAAACTCCTGGAAGGTGGTCATGACAGAAATTGTTGGGAAAGTTCTCAGCATAATAAAAAAGAAATTTTTATTTCCTTCATGATCCACTCAGGGAAAAAGAAAGGGCAAATGAACCAGCGTATGTCAAAATCTGTAGTAAACTCCAGTGAGATCACAGTGTCAGGAAATTTCAGCCTGAATTAGAGATATCCTTGCACTTAGAATTTTCTTCTTTGATGTATGTGAAGGAAGGGTTGGAGGGCAAAGTCGAAGGAAAAGGCAAAATAAATTAACAAAATGGCTGCCAGGCAATGTTTAGAGCCCCCACCCCACGAACCGCGCCTTTTCTGTTTCCGCTGGACTCACACTGCCACCTGCTGGCAATGCTTAGGCGGTACTAGCTGATCAATGATGTTGGAAAGAAGAGTTCTCCCCCTGTTCAGGAATGAGATTCCTCTCTTATGAGTGTATCTTAAAAGGGAGGAGAGAGAGGAGAGTATGTTTTTCAATCACAAGAGACTCTCCTCAGTGTATACTATCCAAGGGATTTCCTCAGTGTAATAGGCCTTAGACTAGAGTAAGTCTAGGAGTAGGAAGACAGACACCTGGAAATTTTCCTAGATCTGAAGGGGGAAAGCTATTTGCCCAAGTTTCATTTAATAAATTGTTTTTCTTCAACTAGAGTTTCATTTACAACCCTCATACTTTCCACAATCTGCAGGAAGCCTCCATGTACGTATCTTGCTGCAATGGACTGAACTCTCAGAAGTGAGAACCAAGAGCATATTCTCCAGTATATTTCTCAAATACATTCTGTACTGCTTTACCAGATGTAAAAATACAAGGTACCTGATCAAATTAGACTATGAACTCCTTGAAGGCAGTGACTCTACATCCTCTGTGTGAGTGCCAGAGAATATTGGGTATTCAACTATTATGCACTGAATTGAACTGAAGGAGTCAATGTTGATATCAGTATAACTTTTTATAATAAAAATTATTTATTGGCTGTTCAAAGGGAATCTATCCCACTCCCACCAGCGCATCTTCCCCTTAGATGCTCGATGAGCCAGGAATTTGTTTAAATACAGACCACACCACCCTCTGGTCCTACCTTAACCCTTTAATGTCACCTGATTCAATTGAGGGAAGTGGGATGGACAGGTAGTCCCAGATGGATGTCCTGTCTAGTTTGCAATTATTCCCCTTCCCTTGAAAATACCGCCACCGATACCAACCAACACAGTTCCTACAGTCTCAATCAGTGAACAGCTGAGCCCAACTCCTGTGCCCTGTCTCCAACCCAGGGCTGCAGATAGGAGAGAGATTAAGTCTTTGTCACTGAAGCTAATTTTGAGAGCGATGAATGGGAGTAGGGAGGCATTCAATGAACCATGGAAACCCCACCTTTCCCATTCCCAACCTTAGTCTCTTGTACCCGATTGTCCAGGGGGCTGGAGGTGGGTCACTGCCATGAGAAGAGAGATCAGGAAGGCCAGTCCTAGGGAGAAAAAAAAAAAAGATTTATAGTATTACTGGTCAGGGTGATTGCCTGGCCTGTCTGTATCCAACCACCTTAGCAATTTAAATGATATCAGTATAACTTTTTATAATAAAAAAAGTTATCTTCAGCCCCCAATCTTTCCACTTCTTCATCCTAAAAGACAAGGAGAAAGAGCCATCCAGTCTTAGTCTTGCTTCTGCTGAGATCAAGCTTGAGGGTGGAAGACAGAGAGCTGCAGTCAGCTTTCCTGTCTTCTACTCGATGTACACTGATTGCTATTTCCTCTTGCTTCTGGTCAAACTCAGGAGAGGAGTATACCTAGTCCTCTCACTTTAAGGAAACCTCAGGTCTAAAACTAAAAAAAAGATCTATTAACTCAAATGGAAACACTTGGCTATAATTTAGTTCTTGTTAAACCTAGCGAGGAAATGAGAAGACATGGGTCATTTTCTTACCTTGCTTGGGTGCAATGATTTCCCTGGACAATTATACTGAAAAATGAAATATCCTAAAGGGCCCCGGAATAACTCCAAACCTGGCCTGCCGCCCTGTATCCTCCAGCTCCTACCCTTAGAGAGTTTCCCTGCTTCCTGAGGCGTGGAAAGTTCACTGGTTGAAAGGCATCGTCTCACCTTCGTGACCCGTTACTCTCGTCACCATCTCACCAGGTTCCCTCCCCCAGTAGTCAAGGATCACAGCCATGTCCAAGGCTTTTGCCACATGTCCATCTTGTTGGCTCTGTTGCTGACCCAAAAAACACTAAGCAAAAGCTGTGTGCAGAGACCCCAGCCCCAGCCCCAGCTAGCTGGGAATAGGTGATCCCACATGGTGTTCCATAACTGGCCCTCAGCCCCATCTCCCTCCAAGTGTCCAGCAGCCCATCATGATTCCGGTCGAGGTGAGGGAGCAGGACGGAGGTAGCTGTCCGACATGATGATGTCGCTGGTGAGTTGTTGCTCCAGGAACTCAGAGGTCTCCTCAGCTATCTGGCCTGGAATTCGAAAGTCAACAGCAGGTGGCTCCTGCTTGGGGCTGGGTAGGGTTCGGGGACCCCAGGACTCTGTGGGACAGCCAGTCCCCTGAAGGAACTGCAGGAAGTTCTCCTCAATGGAGCCCTCCCGGCTAGGTAGCCTCAGCTCCTCCTCTGGGGCCGGCTTGAAGAAGCAGACAAACTGCTTGCTGAGCTCCCCCCGGATCTGGCGATTGAGACATCCATAGAAGAAAGGGTTGGAAGTGAAGCAGAAGTAGCCGATCCAGGTCACCACATTCTCCACCTGCCCAGTCGAAACAGGCTGAGCGCTCAGGGCAACGTAGAGGTGAAAAGAAAAGTAGGGCAACCAACAGAGCAGGAACTGCCCTCCGACGGCCAGGAGCACCACTGCCGCCTTCCCACCCCCAAACGTCCGGTGCGGCGTGGTCTGGGGGGCCCCTGAGCTGGTGACCATGGTGGAGCGGCTGCTGAGAGACTCCGAGCGTTGCCGGGGTGTCTCCATCCACGTGGGCAGCGGTCCGTGCTGCATGGCAGCCACGCGGGCTACTCGGAACATGCTGCAGTAGACCACAAGGATGAGGACCAGGGGCAGCAAGAAGTAAAGGACAGCAAAGACTACCACAAAGAGCTGGCAGTAGGCACTGTGGCTCCACTGGAGTGAGCAGCCTGGGGGAATGCTGGGAGCTCCCTCCTCCCTGGAGACCCTTCCCAGCACTGGCACAGCAGCCATGGCCAAGGCCTTTACCCACACACCCACCAGCACAGAGGCCACCAGCCCCAGCGTCATGCGCACCTCATAGCGCATGGGGTGGACCACGTAATAGTAGCGCTCCACATTGATGGCTGATACTGAGAGAATGGCCAGGCTGACAAAGCATATGCTCAGGAACAAGTAGAGGCGGCAGGCGACCTCCCCAAAGAGGTCATGGTCAAAGAGGGCGGAGCTGGAGAGCATGGCCAGGGGCATGAGGGTCAGGGCGGCCAGCAGGTCCACCAAGCAGAGGTGGAAGACAAAGACAAACTTTCGGAGGGCAGGTGTCTTGGCGATAACAGCCATCACAGCAGCATTGCCAGCCACAGCGGTCAAGTCCAGAAGGAGCATGAAGAAGAGGGCCACAGATTCCGAAGCCACGTCCCGCAGCCCCACCTCCGGGACCCCACTGGCAGTAGAGGGACCTGGAGTTTGAGGGACCCTCCCCAGAGTGGAAGAGTTCCCTGATGACTGTGGGATGGGTGAGGACTCCATGGGGCCGAAAGAGGACACCCAGGGCACCTCCTGTCACAGGCCCATCCCCCATCCTAGTCCAGTGACCCTGGGATGGCAAGCCCAGGCCCAGGCTTCCCAATTTTCTGGGGGAGTTGGGTGGAGGAAGAGGGCGCCTCCTGCTGGAGCCTCTTGGGCAGGCTCTTATTGCCAGCCTTCGAGGCTGGGCTGTGCTTACAGAGTGCCAGGCCAACAACTGAGGGCCCAGGAGCACATCTCTCCTTTCTGGCAGGAGGTAGCTCTGGGTCTGCCTTGGTGACTGCGAAGAAGCAGGAGACGTGAGAGATGCAGGAGCCTCATCCACTCAACACTCCACCCTCCGCGTGGTCTCCGGCTCCTTCTTTTCCACTTTGTTTCCTCTGTTCTCCATACACTTCTCCCCTTTCAAGGACTGTCATCCAGAGATTCTAAATCCTCTATCTCCCTTTCCCAGGGTCCTGCTGAGCTCCAGGATAGTGCCTCCGTTTTAAGGTTGCTTATGTAAATTTCCTGACTTCCTGTCTCCTGAGAATGGCAGGAGCTGTTGGGAAGTAGAGGTTTCCAGTCCCAGGTCTGGGAATTAAGTAACTCAGTGACTCTTCTGAACTTCAGTTTCCTCACAAAGGCATCTGTAAAACGAAGAGAATAATACTTACTTCACAACTGTATTTGGGGGATCCTGTGCAATTTATTAAGAAAAATATTAATAAGCAGTAACATTTATATGGTGCTTTCCACATGCCAAGCACTGTTCTAAGCGCTCTACGTATATTAACTCATTTTAATCCTCACACAACTCTATGAGGTATAAATTATTTCTATCCCCATTTTGCAGTTGATAAAACTGAGGCCTAGGGCCAGCCCCCGTAGCCCAATGGTTAAGTTTGGCACACTCTGCTTCTGCAGCCCAGTTTTAGTTCCTGGGCACGGACCTACACCACTCGTCTGTCAGTGGCCATGCTGTGGTGGTGGCTCACATACGAAAAGAGGAAGATCGGCAGCGGATGTGAGCTCGGGGTGAGTCTTCTTCAGCAAAAAAAAAAAAATATCTGAGGCTTAGAAAGGTTACATAACTCACCGAAGTTCACACAGCTAGCAAGTGGTAAGGTCCAGGTACACTCCCAGGCAGTCTGGCTCCAGGGCCAGCACTCTAGCCCACCGTGCCATGCTGCACTTGACAGCGCCCTCCACAGCAGCTGAAACATAACAGGCATTCAGGAAATAGTTGCTGAGTTTGAACCCCTCTAAAAATGTCTCTCAGTGCTGTGCAGCTACCACTGGGAAGAGATCACCTGAAAAGAGGAAGGCCTGTGCTTTAGTCTCCTCTGACATCACCACCCCCAAGACAAAGAGCTGTCACTTTGGGAGTTGAGAGGGAACAAGAAGAACAAAACATCCCAGCTGGAAGGAAACTGGGAGGTCAGTTCATTCAGCCTCTGCTGCTCCCAAAGCCAGAAGGGCATAAGTCACTTGAAAGCTGCCCATCTTCACCCACTCCTCAGCTTCTCAAGGCCACTGTGCTCCTACAGGTGGGAGAGGAGCTGCTCCTAACCTCTCGCTCCCTGGGTCCCCAGATCTCTGCTCACTTAACCATCAGAGGATCCCTGGCCCAGAGTACTCTCGGTCCTGGACTATTACCACAGTCACAGAACGAGGAGAGGAGGAGGCGTCTGGGTAAGAGGGGGGGTAGGTGTGAGAGTGGGTAGATGACTGTGATCATGGGAGTGGGTGAGCATAAAGCAGAGAAGAAAACTGGAAGAAATTGGGAGAGGAAAAAGTCTGGGGTTTCAGTGTCTCTCGTTTCTCCTGATCAAATGGCAGATCAGATCTGTTTTACGTGTCTCATTATCCATGCTGAATTTGAACATAATTGAAATAAATTGCCCAATGTAATTTTAAATTTTTTTCACTTTCCATATACTATTCTTGCAGTCCAGATTCCCTCAGTTTAGTGTGCTAAGGTGTGCACATTAGAGGCAAGCTGTGGACCTTCCAAGTCTGGTGGGCTTTGTATAGACAAGTCACAAGTTGCCTGGGTCACGGTTTCCTCATCTGTAAAATGGGTGGGTTGGAGTGAATGACCTCCTAGGTTCCCATATATGATAGCATTTGATGACTCCGTGAGTTCCTGGGCTATGGAGGGTCTGCGGGTTGCTCAATTTAAAAACCCATCATTTCTCTGACTTCAGTAAAGAGGACCACGTGGGGCAGATGGACCTTATTCCTGCTCCATAGTTACAACATTACAATCACCCTTGGGTTTTGGCATGACCATCAACTTTGCACTAATTTAACTTCTAGCATGCCATGTATGCCATAGGTGCTCAATACAATTTTGTGAATTGAATCAAATTCAAATTGATGAGTTGAATCCCTGCCCATAGTACATACTCCAAGAACACTCAGTCAGCTGTGTGCCAGCCAGGGGCCTCTCATCTGGAAAGGGTATCCTGGGCTCTTGGACTCGAGGCAGCCCTAACTTTGGACAACTTCCTAAAGATGCACCTCTCCCCAGGGATAACAGAAAGCTCATTTCACAGTTAAAATGGCCACGTGGACCCAGGGTCTGCAGAGAAAGTGAGGAGAGGGCCTGAAAGTGGAGACATCAGCTTCTCATAAGACCGTCTACTGGAAAAAAAATACTGGGAGAGGCATCCTCGCCCCTCCAATCCAAGCCATGGCTTCCCCATCCTTCCACCTGGGAGTGGGCCCACAAGACGTGGCTCTGAGGCCCTGGGAGCTAAAGGAGCAAAAGCATACAATGTCTGCACGGACATCAAGGGTCTGCCAGCGGGGCCCGCCCAGGGTCCCACGTGGAGATGGAGCGGGCGATGTGCAGCCAAGATGGAGCCCTAGACAAGAAGGCATTGGACATTTCTCTTTTCCACAGCCCCCCCAGCCTTGCCAGTATTGCCGCACTGACTCCTAAATTCCAGGATTCCAATTTACCTCCTAACAGACGGACCAGAATACCTGCCCCTCAGTGCTCCCTCACTGATGGACTAGGGTAAATGTGGGGAGGGCTGTGGTGTAACAGTTTCATAGAGGAAGCCCAGGGAGCCTCACTCCACTCCTAGCTCAAATCATCATGCCTTCTCAGATGCTCTCATCCTCCCCCTGCTTTCTTCCAGCACCCCCTCCCTCACCTCCAGGACCTCTCAGTACCTGAAGGCTTCACCCCCACAGGAGCCGAGGTCTGGGCCTCTAGCAAGGGCATGGTCAAGTTATAGATATCCTTGTTTCAGGATGCAAGATGGACATAAGTGCCCAGCCCAAGGCCGCAGAGGTGTCGTTGGGATTCACGTGCACCTGTTTCCCAGATACAAAGCTTCCATCCCAAGGACCTGAGCCTGGCCTTCCCTCAGACAAGAGCATGGCCCTCCTAACCCAGGGGAGATTTCCAGGGGGCAACAACACCTCTCCCCAGCAGAGTTGCCCACACCCAGAACACAGAGTTGCCCATAAGCCTGGATGCCAAAGGACTCATTCCTAAGATGTGAGGGACCCATCTCTATGACATGGAGCAAGACAGATGGGGAACCTTGCCTGCGGGGTTGTGGGTACTCCTGCTGGCAGGAGATCGACACCTCATCACTAGGCTTCAGAGATGCCCGCACCCCAGTACTGCCTTCGGGATACCTGGGAGCCCCTTCCCTAACAAAACTGCCCACCATAAGGTAGGGTGGGCTAGTCCTTGGGATGCAGGGCTACCCTTCTGTAGGGTACCTCAGCACTCGCCACCAGGCCCTGGGTCCAGCCCCATTCCTGGCCTAGTCAGCAACTCCTACCTTTGCTGAGCAGCTCCCGGCTCCCATGTGATAGCTCCTCTCAGCTGATGCTCCTTCAAGGCTGCTGAAGCCTGAACCACTGCAGTGATGGTGAGAGGCAGCCGGCAGAGCAAGATGCTCTGAGAGCTTCTGGGTCCTAATGGCCTCCTTCTTCCCACCCAGCCCCTTGGAGCCACTTCTGGAGCGAGGAGGCAGGCACCACTGCCCCCAGGCCAGGTGCCCAGGAGTGGGCCCAACCCCTCCCACTTCTCTCAGGTTGCTGCAGTGGTATCTCAAAGTCTCGTGGGCCAGGAGATGGTAGGCAGCGGAGACCCTCCTGGCCAGCCTGATGAAGTAAAAAGAGCAGTCAGAGTCAGGAAATCCAGGTTTAAGGCCTGGCTCTGGCACTTACTAGCTGTGTGACTTTGGGCAAGTCACTTCCCGTTTCTGGCCTTGGTTTCTTCTCTGCTCACAGAGACTATAGGCTGGATGATCCCTGAGGTTCCTGACAGCCCTGCCACTGCATGGTTCTGTGTGACGTTCAGAAACAAGGTGCTTTGGTAGCACGTTGGCCAGCGCAGACACAGGGCCCCAGAGTTAGGCCTGGCAGGGGGCCAAGGCTCCGGGGCATGGCCCAAGGTTTGGCTCTTATGGAAGCTGTCAACTGTGTATAAAGGACAGGTTTAGGAGTGGCAGTCAGGTTTGAGGGGGAGCTAAAGGCCTTGTCTTAACCCCACCCCTGCCCCTCAAAAGGCATATTATTATTGTCTTGTTAGATTGTATGTTTATTTGGTGTGGGGCTGTGAGACCTGATGGAGATGGGAGAATGGGACACCCTCATGAGCCACCCTATGGTACATACAACACTGATCCCTGAAGCAGAGAGGGAGCCAGGTACTCGGGAAGGCTCTGATTGGTCTGGATCCATGGGAGTGAACAGAGCTGGGGCACATCATCCACTGAGGGTTCAAGGCCGTGTGACAAGCCTTGGAGGTGACATGAAGGGGCATGGCTTCCCACCAGCTATGGAGATAATAGTTCCCCCACGTGTGTGTACCTGACACCCAAGGATAGGATCCTACCATGGTAGAGCTGTAAGATATCCTACAGGCCAAGGCATCCATGTTTCTGAGGCCCAGAGAGGTGATGAGATTGCCCAAAGCCACACATGGCAGAGCCACGAGCCTACACAAGGAATTCAAGCATGAGACCCACTCCAGAGCCCTCTGCCCTTAGACCTACCTATGCAGAAACTCCTTCTGTCTCTAAAAGGGAAGAAAGGGAATTCTGGAATTGTTTCCCAGACCCAACCCAAAGAGCCATAGAACAGTGAAGCACCCAGGGAACTCAGAGCAGGCAAGGTGGCTGCCCTGCCCCAGGTCAACAACAAAGAGGCCGCTGACCAGCCCAGACCCGACGCGGTGATCTCCACTCTCCCTGGCCACCCTTCCTTGAGC